ATGTGTGACCGTTAAATATATAACAAAAGCGGAGCGATTAAAAGAACAAAAGAATAAAAAATATAAAAATAAGCTTGACAAAAATACTAAACCAAAAGAGATGACATTTGCAAAACATAATGATATGAAGCTAAAAAGACCCGAAGAAACTAAGTTAAAAAAATATGAAGAAATAAACCCAAAAACAAACCCAAAAACAAACCCAACAGAGCAGGAAAAAATAAAATTAGAGAAACATAAAGAAACAAAATCAAAAGAGTTTGAAGAAATGGATCAAGAAGAATACAAAGAAACGAAATCAAAAAAAAATGAGGAAACGAAATCAGAAAGAAATGAAGAAATGAAATCAGAAAAAAATGAGGAAATGAAATCAGAAAAAAATGAAGAAACGAAATCAGAAAAAAATGAGGAAACGAAATCAGAAAAAAATGAGGAAACGAAATCAGAAAAAAATGAGGAAACGAAATCAGAAAAAAGTGAGGAAACGAAATCAGAAAAAAATGAGGAAACGAAATCAGAAAAAAATGAGGAAACGAAATCAGAAAAAAGCGGGAACACAAAATCAAAAGAGCAGACAGAAATAAAATCAGAAGAATGGAAAGAAACAAAATTAGAACAAAAAGTAGAAGCGAAAGCGGAAGAAACAAAATCAGAAAAAGATACCGAACATACGGAGCTGAAATCAGAAGAATGCGAAGAAATAAAATCAGAAAAAGACACGGAAACAAAATCAGAAGTACTTGAAGAAACATAACGTTCAATAAAAAATAACGAAGATACAAAAGTGGAAAACAACAAATAAACAAAAAGCATTAGCTATTGGTTAACACATAAATAGGTTAACACATAAATTGATTAACACATAAATAAATGAAACTAGCTAAAGAATTTAATTTTTTGCAAAAGATAAAAATATTTTCCAGCAAAAGGTTAAGGTTTTAACATAATCGACATTTCTATTCAATTTTTGTGTATTACTTGACATTTTCCAATTTTCTCATGATTTAATTAATCTTAAAATTTATTGTTATTTTCTTTTCTTATTTATTTTCTCAAATAACAGATGTATAGATCGAATTAATTAATTATTTATGATTACAACTTTTTTATTAAACAAACAGAAATAAACATATTCAGATTCACTTAATTATTAAGAAAGAATACACAATGTACACCATATAATTACTGAATAAAAATATATATTTGACAAAAAATTGGATAAAAATATTTCAGCTCTAAATTTTTATTTTAAAAATTTAATAGCGCAATAATTCATCCTATCTATCTTAAACATCGACAACAAACAAACGAGAACAACTTAATCTGTACAACCTTGATAACAATTCTATTGATCAAGTTTATAACATGTTTATCAAAAGTGCTGTATTTTTTCAATAATTATATTCATTAATAGGCAATCCTGTTGTATTTCTGTAACCATCGAATCATAGATGGCGAATTGATCTTATACCATTCCAATTCGTACTTAGCGACTCTTAAAGAAGATTTCAAAGATTTCTGAATAGATGCAAGGTTCTGCTTATGATTGTTTATAAATTCTTCAAATTTGTTTATTAATTCTGGTGAAGAAAGATGTTGCGACACTCCCTTAAGAATTGTAGCTATTGCGCTCTGTTCTCCAAAACTGAAAGAAAAGATAAATGCTTACAAATCAAAGTAGAAATTATTTTCAATATATATCTACTAAGATCTATTTAAATTATCTACTTGAACATACTTGACATTTTTCTAAAGGACTTTGAAAAAATATACTTTACACAATTATGCATAAATATTATTACACGTTAATATAAATTATTGCCTTCTCAATATTCGAATCTGTCTTTACAAATCAAATTTAAATGTTTACATTCTATTTCTTCTTTACGAATTGATATTGATAATTTCTCTTTCTGTATTACATAATAAATATAACTTACTATTTCTCAATTTCCTTGTAATATTTATCAACAAAATCAAGAACAAATTCGGCGCCAAGCAAGCCAGAGTTATAAACGGCTGCAAACACGCTCTTGCTATCCTGATTACGAATTCGGCTGATTTCATACCTAGTTATGGCGTATTTCAGATACCTGTATAAAAAACAAATTAATGTTAATAAAATTTTAAATGAAACAATTATAAAGACATATGCAATATCTACACTTTATTATGCCGCTATTTTTTCTTATGTGAATTATGTCTATAACAGGTCAACGAGACTTCAAGAGTTATTAAAAAATTTTAATTATCTTTATAAGTATATATTATAAGTATATTATTAATCTAATTTTTTTATTAATCCGTTTTATTTATTTATTAATCTAAATATTTTGCTCTTAATTATATGTCTAATAATAAAAATGTAAAATCTACTCCTGAATAACTTATTATTTACAACGTTAATAGTAGTTAATATTGAGCTCAGTTTACTATTTTATAACGAGCTTTTCTATATGAAATAAATAATAGAGATATTTTTGTATACTAAGTCTTACTTTTCTAAGATGGTGGTATTCTGACTGCATCCCAAAGCATTTAAAATCACCATTTGATCCGCCACATAATTGGAATTAAAGTATTCATTCCATAAAAATTCCCAATCTTCAGAAGAGCTTCCATACCTTATAGCTACACAATATGCTGCAGTTCTCTCGTTCACTTTGATGCTATATGAAATATATAAAAAAATATATGAATATATTATAAATAATCTTGATATGAAATCATCCAAAATTAACTAAGTTACAATATTATATATAATACAGAAAAATTTTTTATATAGGAAGCAATAAAGTCAATTTGACAATGGATTCGGAAATAGTCATCGAGGAGAGCTATTACAATCGCAGAGATTAGTAGTGAGTAATGAACAAAGAATCTTGAGTTCGAATCTGATCGACTCTATTAATTTTTCTGAATTCTAATAATAATTATTTTAAAAGATTGTAAAAATTTCTTTAAAATTTCAAACGAGATTGAAACATCTAAGTTTTAATGGAAATAGTAGTTTCATTATAAAGAATTTGTATTTGCGTATGCATATTATAAACATACAATAGAAAAAAAATATGTATTGAAATTTACTATACATATATGCAGGTATGTACGACTAATGACAAGTATGTACATACATATAATAATTAACATATTTTATATTTATATATATATATATATATATACAAAGCGTCTGAAGCGTTCATAATGGTACGCCGCTTGTATGCAAATAGGGCGGATCAAATTGAGCAGAAAAATCCTCAATTATTTTACGATTTTACAATTAGTAACAAGTTATTAATTATTAAAAATTGTCGAATGAGCGCCCGGTCCATCGACAAATGCAAACGCGTGAGATGCATTCGCTCAATGTTAGCCGCAATGTTCGCAATGTTAATACACGGAAAGAACACTTTCGCTGGCAAATCTAAAAATTTCACCGGATACAGATCTGAAAATAATTTTGTTGGCCCATCAAAATTATCTTGTAGAACACTTAAATATGATGATAATACTGCAAAAAGCTGTTTGATCCTCTTACAATCAATTTGAACATCGTATATAATAATTTTGGAAGGCCCAACAAAATCATCTTCAGATCTGTATCTAGCCAAATTTTTAGATTTGCCAGCAAAAGTGTCCTTTCCGTGTAGAAATACTTAGAGAGATACTTAGACAAATGACAAATGACAAATGACAAATGACAAAACATGTGCTTATACTGCAATCATTTGCCAATGAACCGTACAGACACGCGCTCGTTCAGTGATTTTTAATAATTATTAAATCATTACTAACTAGCAAAAAATGGTAAAAGACTTTTTTATTCAATTTGATCCGCTTTATCCGCATACAAGCAGTGTACCATTAAAAATTAGACACCCTGCGTACAATAATACACATTATAAAAATCATAATTAAAATAAGATAACACGTATATTCTCACCGGTCAGTAGGATTTGCTCTCCATTGACTAAATTTCTTGATGTAAATCGCTACGCAATCATCGTCGTTGAAATTACAGGCCCATTTGTTCACCTCTTGTCGCAATAAAACTGTTAATCTGTCATCATTTTCGTGATCCTCGTATCCTAGCTTGCTACGTATATTATCGATGAGAGATAGAACATACCTCTAAAAATATAAATTAAATAACGTTAATAAATTATGTACAAGTAAAATAAATATACTGTAAACAACATTATGTTGTTTGAATAATATTGTTTATTACATATTATTTTTTTATACTTAAAATTTTGTATTAAAAAATATTAACATTAAATTTCTAAAAAAAGTTTATACACAATAGAGCAAAAAACTTGGTATAATTTATGTAATTAAGATTATATCTGCTCAAGGAAAATATAAAAAAAATGAAATCATGTCAAAACGTTCTATACGCTAATTATTAGCCAACCTTGAATAAGTTATGTTCCGCGGATCCTGCAAATCGCTTATTAAAGTATCCCAAGCCATTAAGTGCTGCTTTAAATGGTAAATAATTCGTTTCCCTTTTAAGATATAACAATCTATCCAAAACCAAATCGTTGTTCTGATATCCCGCTCTACCCAAACTTAATAGATCGTCTATAATGGCAGCTCTGTTTAATACATGAATTTCATCGAATTTGTCACTTTTTAAGAAATCGAAAATACGTTGCCATCCACGATCATCGTAATTTACACGATAGAAGCCTGTAATAAAGATATTATAGTAATTTTTTAACAATTTCTGTACAAAATATATATGTAGATAAAATAAAATACGGCAAAAATAAAATAATAATAAGATAAATTTCAAATTTATGATATTATGTTTATTATATTTATCAATGTTTATAAAATCTAAAAATTTTTTAGTCCGGGAAAGGATTTTAATTTATTACATAAATTCAAAAAATTATTTCTAAATCAATTACTATATGTTGCTTAGTTATGATCTGAAAATACAGCAGTCAAAAGCTATGTCTAACTTTATTCTTTTTTCTAATATCTTAATAACAATTAAAAAATAGCTGTAAGAAATTGTAACGCTGAGATAATATTTTTTTACAATAAAAATTTCTCACAGATATTTAGTGATTATTAAGATATATTTAATAATTACAAATATTATGCGTGGAGTAAAATTGGATATAATTTTCTACTATGTTTCTACGTTTTTAGACCAAGAAAAACGGCATGTAGGAATGGAAGCTTTTAAAAATGATTTTTTGTAATTTATTTATTAAATTAAAATCCTTTTCTGACTCTATATGACTACGAATCTTTTTATCGTCTGATTAACATATTGATTTAAATATATATATATATATGCATTTATTTAATTTTAAAATATTTAATTTAGCATATTTAATAATACATATATATATATAGTTACTATTTTGTTATAATAATTTTATTTTAATGAATTCTAGTTTGACAATTAATAACAATTTATCAACTAAGGTGATAACATAATGGAGTAATCCATTATAACATATATACATATAGGTACAAATGTTAAATTTTCTTTTATCAGTAAAAGAGTATTTAAAATACAAACACTTTAAAATATAGTCTTTAATCAATTATTTCTACTAAAAAATACTGTTTAATACTAACCTGATGATTGAAGATTGAATATGGCCCATTCCGGATTAATTTTGAATTGTGCAGTGGTTTTTTCGGTATTAAACCAATATTTTGGAACTGTATTACTGAAATCTGGATTACTCTGTGTTGCAAATGTGAGTGGGACGTACCAAGTGACATTCGTCGAAGTGTTATTTAAGTTCCTTAAGAAAAAGCGTTCTTGACTAAGATTTACTACACCGTCGTCATTAATGTTAACTGACACAACAGGGTATCCGGATTGTGTAGTCCAAGTATCCATTATTGCTTTTACAGGAATGTTTGATGAGCGTTGGGTTTCTAATTGACCTTTTATTGCATTCCATAGAGTATCTGGATGACCCAAACCTTTCTCTTTGCTAAAAAAAAGAAGATGATGTTATTAAGAAGATGATATTTATAATATAGTTTCTTGATTGCATTGAAAAAAGTGAAACAGATTTTGTATAAAAAAATTAAATGATTTAAAATAACACATCTTATAAAATGTATAATTTAATAAACAAATTAATTTTTTTATCAAATAATATATTACACTACCAATCTAATATCTAAAGATACAGTTTGTTAAATTATAATTTGTTTACATATATTTTAATACCATATGTTATAATATTAATTTAATATAAAAGTATTGTATAATTTTATTGTATAAAAAACAAAAAATTTGTATTTTCTAATTAAAATAATATATTATTCAATTAATATTAACATGAATTAAATTAATTCTTTTTTATAATTTTGTATTGTTACAATAATTTTCAGACAATACATAATCCAAAATTGGGAAGCTTTGTGGACGTTCTTTGCAGATATTTTTAAAAAGTTTTTTTAAAATCCCTTTAAAAAGGTTCCTGATTTTAAAATTGATGCTGGCTGCGATATTTTATACATTATTTGATTTGTTTTATTGTTATCAGAAATGATTATATGTTATAATTAAATAAATTAATTAACTGTGTTTCAATCATTGAGTACACAAATTGAGAGTACAGTTTATTTTATATTATTATTTACTTGTTCGATATGTAGTCTTGTAGTGCAGTTTTGAAAACATTGCTTCCAAAAATGAGGCTCATCATACGAACAATACTGGCTCCTTTCGCATAAATAATGGTGCCTCCTGTCTCTAAAATTTGCGATTTAGTAGAAGCATTTCGAGTCATCGGAAGAGAAGATTCAAGACCATCTGTTATTAATGCAGATTGAAATTGATCTACTACAAATTGCTCCTTCATGTGCCACGATTTTTCGAGCTATAATAAAATAAGAAAAATTATTTAAATTAAAAACAGGATTTATCAATCTCCACTTGCACAGTTTCTATAAACAAAATTGAAATTATTTTAGGTAAAGAGTAAGATTCCTTTTTACGTGTTTTAGTATTATTGATGACATAATGTAAAAATAAATCAATTATATATTTCCAGAAATAATAATTGTAATGTATGCGATTTACCTGAATCGTGCAAAATTGTATAAAATTGTATAAAGAATTGCTCAGATTGAATGTCCAAATCTTTAATCTTCACGTAATTAACTATATTTAATATTTTAAGTTAGTTTGATAATAAAAATAAACTAAATATCAATTTTTGTACCTCCGCAGTACCAAAGTACTGAAAGTATCTAGCAAACGCTTCGCTGAGCCAAAGATAACTCCACCATTCGGGTGTTATCAAATTTCCAAACCACATATGCGCAAGCTCGTGAACAACTACGGAAGCTACTCTCTGTTGTGCCAACGCCGACGATTCCTTTTCGTCGTACAGCATTTGAGTCTCCCGATATGTCACCAATCCCCAATTTTCCATAGCTCCCGCTACGAAATCGGGTATGGCTATCATGTCCATTTTAGGAAGCACATATCTTTGCTGGAACATATCGGTGAAGAGCTCGAGGGCTGCAGTGCCGATATCCAAAGCATATTTGGCCTGATTGACGGTGGAAGGTTTGGACCATACTCTAAAATTATTTAGCTTGAGAGACTTAAAGTCCGAAATGACAAAAGCCACTAAGTAAGGAGACATCGGAACGGTTTCTTCAAAAGTATCCCAAATCTTGCCGTCCGGAGCCGTTCTTAAAATAAATATATTCTAAGTGAACAGAATTGAGAATTTGTTTGATGACAATATATCAACAGTCTCGCGTTCTTCTGACACTTACTTTTCAGACTTTGCTAATGGCATGTTACTAAGAGAGATGTAATTTTCATCTCTTGCTACATGAAGAGTAAATTTAGCTTTAAAGCTTGGCTCGTCGAAACATGGAAAAGCTTGTCTCGCATATATTTTTTGAAACTTTGAAGCAGCCAGCCATCTATGGCAAAGATTTAACATTGTGAGGCATCATAATATTAATAAGATTAATAATATTTTAGTATATAATATAATACAAGATATATAAGATACATAAGAAAGAATTTTTAAGTCATTTAACAAGATTTTGTGCCTAATTACATATGATTATAAATTATATACGAATTCCGCTTCTTTCAGTTGTTGTGCGTAAAATCATTGCAAGCTTTAGTGATCGAATTAGCAAATTTAACTATTAAAATATGAAAGTCTATATTTAAATTGTGAGATATTTCTGACAATTTTTTATAATTTTTAGTAATTTTATAATATGTCCATAAGTAGTAATATTAATTTGATTATTAATTCAATAACATAACTTTATGTGTATTATGTTAATTGTTTAAAATTACTATTTCAAATTTAATTATTTAGCTACTTTTTATGACAGAATAACAATCGACGCACAATTAAAAAAAGTGATATACGTATATATAAAATTGACGATAATATGTAGTATACAATATATTGAGCAAAATTTCATCAAATGATTTAAAACTTAATTTTTTTAGCTATATTATGTTATATGTAAACGGCTATTTTCTCCCTATTTAATTAAAATATTTAAATTATTATTTAATTTATTATCGTATAATAATTAGACGTATCACTTACTTTATTTGTCCGTTTTCATCGAAATAAGAACTTCTATAAAATCCAACCATTTTATCAGATAAAATTCCATTATATTCAAAGCTAATTTGTATAAGTCTATTGTTTTTGAAAATTTTTGAACTAGTGATAGTATACTTTTCGGTGATATTATCATATGTAGATGAAAGTTTTATATTATCGTATAAAGTAATGGCTACTGATTCAATTTCGATCGTATTTCCCACGTGCAGCGTAATATTGTTAGTTGCACGTTTTACCACTGCTTTAATTGTTGCATAGCCTTTAAATTTAAAATCATCTTGTAAGTTTGGAATTAGCTTAATGTCATATGAAATAGGTTTGATATCCGTTGGTAATCTGTAATCAATAGGATCATCATCTTGTTTGTCTTCACTTTCCGTCGATATATCTGAAAAGTATTATAAAATTGTTACAAAGCTATAGACATACGAGACAATCTTAAAAGTAATAATGTTTTTGTTAAATTGTTTGTATTGCAATTTTGTATAAACTAGTCATTAATATGTTTATATCAATATAAAAGCACAAATTCTTTAAATATTAAATATTTATAATTCTTATTGGCAATATCAGATTCAATTTTATAATCTTACAAAATTTTATACATCTCATAAATTAATGAAGAACTGTTTACTTTTTGTAATTAAAAAGACTTTATTTCATTTTGTAATTAAAAGAATGTATATAATTTATTTATTTTTTTTTGTTGTTATATTTTTCAATGATTTTCTTTAAATATATTTTGGAAAATCAATTATATAAAATATAAGCAAATTTACCATCGTAGTACATAGGAGATTTAGCTACTACATTTCCACTAAGTAATGTAATTAAGATGCAAAGTAATAGACATTTCCGTAAGATCTTCATGTACGTTAATTTTGTGTGAAGTTTTGAGTATAATTCCACGAGCGAGACAAACGAAGTGCTCAAATCGAGCGGCTGAATGGCAAGTGAAGTCAAAACAATGATTGTAACTGATCAATAAATGTTTGATATATAAGGCAACATCTGAATGTTCCGAAAATTGGCAAATATTCACAATCAATAAACAAAGATATTTAACAAAAGTAGTGTAGCGCGAAAAAAATTTAAATATAAAAAGGCACTAAGAAACACCACCCGCTATGAAAAACTACATTTTTCAACATTTTATTTTTTTTAGTTATCTTTAGTTGAGTTAATTAAAACAATAATAAATAAAGAAATAGATTTTCATCATAATAAATTATATCAAGATAAATATAAAAAAATAAAAACAGATTACCTTAAATTTAAAAACATGTAATAAGTAATAGAATTAATTTTCAATTACATAGAAATTTATGTAAAATTAAAAATAAAAAATTATAAATTAATTTTTAATTAGTTATCAATTAATAAAGTGGAAAGGTTTAGTCGAAGCGATTTTTGTAATTATGATATAGAACATGCAACTTTATTCGCTCCTGAATGAATGTTTTTGAGGATTCAATGAAATGGAGGAAAGTCTTGTTGCTTAATTAATACCAGCTGTCCAAGCTGTAATTGTTTGCTTTAGCAACCATTTATGGATAATTAATTATAATTAATTCAAACGATCAGAAAATATGCAATAAAAAAATAATAAATGTCTAGAAAAGTTATAATATGAAATTTAAATATGACAATTTTTCAAAAGATATAATATCAAAATCTAAAATTTATAAAGAATATGTAAAAAAATTTTTCGAAAACATTTTAGAGTAAACAAAGTCTTAATGAAGTATATATCTAAAATAAGTTATGTGAATTAATAAATTATGTGACCTTTTATTAAACGTCTACTAATAATCCGGAAATGTTTGATCCCATTGTTCTTGAATTCTCTTATATAATTGTGTGATTAATGATGGTTGAGAATCATATGAATATCGCACTCGTCTTTTTAATAAATTCTCTATGGGATTATGGTCAAGGTTTTATGCAAACTAAATTAAAATAGAAAATTTTTTTAGTACTGAGCCAATTTTATACGCTTTTAGCTGTATGCTTCAGGTCTCGATTGTGCTGAAAAATTACATTTTTCTCTTCAAACGGCATATTTTCAGCAGCATTGCAAATCTTTGCACATTTATTGGTTCATGATATACCATTAATTTTGTGTAATGAATCAACACCAAATGCTGTTAGACATTCAAAACATTATGGATCTATCTCTACATTTTATCGTTTGTTTTGTATATCGCAGTTTTATTTTTAAGAATCCAGTATCAAAAATACCATCGGGATAAATCCTGTTAATCTTTGTCTCATATGATCAAATAACCCGTTTCAGCAATTGACCAATTTTGATACTTTTTAGTAACTTCTAAACGAAGTTTAATATTCCTCTTCTATTTTTTTCTTCGACAACATTCTTCTTTTTTCTTTGAATATCTTTAAAATTAGCTCTCTTAAGAAATCTTCGAACCGTTCATTTATTTATCTATACACGGAAAGAACACTTTTGCTAATGTAAAAATTTGGCAAATCTAAAAATTTGGCTAGATACAAACAATGCTGAAAACAATTTTGTTGGGCCTTCAAAATTATTATATATGATGTTCAAATTGATTGTTAAGATCAAGCATTTTTGCAGTATTATCATCATATAAGTGTTCTACAAAATAATTTTGATTGGCCAACAAAATTATTTTCAGATCTGTATCTGGTCAAATTTTTAGATTTGCCAGCAAAAGTTTTTTTTCCGTCGTTTGTGTCTTGCCCTAATAATTTTGCAACCATACTGGCACTTGATGCTTCACCAGATGTGACGTATAATGTCTTCGTTCGTTTTGCGGTAATAATAATAATATTTTCGATCTTTCTCCAATTTTCAATAATATATTTTTATAATACTTTTTTCTCAATCTTTGAACTGTTGATTGATCCATTGCTCTCCCTCAACATGATGCATTGATAAACCATTATTCAGAAGAAAAATGATTTTTTTAACATAGTTCAAAGAAATTGACTTTATATTTATTTTTATTTTACTCACGTACCTTTTCATTCGACTGAGTGCTAAAATATAAGAATATCATAATATAAGATGTCTCTGAACTTAGTGTTAAAACTGGTATGGCGGCTTTGGCACATAAAAATAAGTCGAAAATGTTTAATAAACATATGTCCGCATCCGAACGATTTCGGAGTTATGGGATATTGAAATTGGCTTCATCATAAAAAAAACATGAATTGAAATAAATGTTTAATGTTCTTCAGTCTAATTAAATTTTACAAAAGGTGCTTAAAAATTCTTCCATCAGCTTCGACAGACTTTCTAACACGAATTAATAAATTGTTTCAAGCTTTTTGGAAAAATGTTTGGTATTTCGCAAATGACGTCGACAGCATTAAATATCAATTGCTACAGTTGTTCTGGATCATGGCTTTTATTCTGATTATTCATGCGACAAGAATGAAAAATCTAATCTACCAAAGTTATAAAATTAAGATAAAGCGAGGAAGTAATATCTTTTATCTTTTTATTTAAATGAGACTACACTGTGCAGGCACAAATATATTATTTTATCCTTATTGTTTACTGAGTATTAATGAAGAATAAATTGATATCATTAATCATTGATAGCATTTATGATGAAGGAAGAGGGGGCGCATTTCATATATTATATTTTGAGAAAGCACTAAGTGTATTTGGTAAAGTGAAGAATAAAAGATACAACTATATATGATTTTTCTCTATCTATAGGAAAAAAAAACACATCCAGGTATATAAAGTCTATGATATGACAGACATTATACGTATTTCTAATTTATTAATTTGTGACACTAGTATAATAAATCAACTAATAAGTAATTGTTTAAAAAAAAGTTTAACTTGAAACTTCAAGTGAATTCTTATTAAAGTTTTTTTTTAACGAGTGAAAATAATGCTTCAATAAACATTAAAACAACTTTTTTCAAATATTATGTAGTTATAAAATAAAAATCTTTTTCAGAAATAAACTACATACGCATGTATATAAAATAGACAAATGTATTTTATTTATTCGAGTATACAATATTTTAATATATTATAACTAACTATATTATAATTTTTAATATATTATAATTATTTATTTATAATTTATGTGCATATGATATAAAGAGAATCGATGACGCATAAAGCAATTAATTTCGAATAACTATCAATTGATAATAAAAGAAACAAATATAGAACTAGCCAGAAAAGTTACGAATAAAGAGTACTACATAATTTGTAATGTCTAATGTCGCAATGTCTAATAGAGAATAATATAATTAGACTAGATACTAAAATGAAAAATAGTAAATAAATAAATGAATTGAATTATCTCTCAGTTGACATATTATATTGAAATAAACTCAGAAGTGCGATTTCTTACAAAAAATAAAAGAAAAGAAATTAAAACTTTATTAATACAAATTTATTCAACTTTTGTATTAGTCACTTCTTGTTGTATTAGTCACTTCTTCAAATTTCTTATATGAATAACATTTTTTTAATCAATATTAAATAAATTTGCACTTATTTTCTCTTTTTATAAATAGGTTGAATATTTAGACAATCAGTTATTTAATAT